ATGCTCGTGAGGTTGCAACGAGTTGATTGGTACCATTGGTTTGCATTTATCATACATGTACAGTATTTTGTAATGAACAAGGGTTATACCTACGCCTGGTGTCCGTAGGTAAAAGCCTTTTATCTAAAACAATGGAAGCCACGAGGAAGATGATAGCGTGGTTGTATGTGAGTGGCCTGTTTGAATTTGCGCGTGTTTTGGGAAGCGTGGCATGGTATTTGCATTATATTTTATTCGTTGCATTATTGTTACAACTAACAAAGCTGGCGCAGACGGTAAGGGTGTTGGTCTTTGATGCAAACGCCCTGGGTTCGATCCCAGGCGTGTGCATTTTATTTTCTCAATATTTCCAGGGTAATTCAGTGTACCACATGGCAAAGGACTCATCATGAACCTTCCAGATCTGATCATTTCATCCATCAACGCTCCAGATCCAAGGCCATCCCTTGAAGGTCCACAATACGCCTCAGTCAAGCAGGTGCAAGGGATTGGATGAAGTCAACACAAGCCACGAGCTTATTGGGCTCAGATTTGCAAACCACACCCCCTTTTTGCTAAAAGCTACCAGGCCCATTCTTTTTTCTTTTCTATTTATTTCATTTATTTATTTAATTAGTTTAATTATTTTCTTAACAAAATCAATTTCTTTTTTCACAAAAAATCATAAAATCAAGTTTCACAAAAAATTTAGAATTAGGTTTTTATTTTATCAAATTTAATTTAATATAGTTTAATTTAATTTAGGGTAATTCTAACTTTTTATATAATTAAAATCAATTAGGAAAATTAGAGTTAACTTTTGATTTAATTTTTACTTCTTTCTCAAAAACAAAAAATACAAAAAATAGGTTAATTTAATTATTTTTCTTAATTAAAATTAATTAGTAATTAGGTTTTTTATTATTATTCAATTAAAATTTATTTTCTCAAAATAGCACAAAAACTACAAAAAATGATTTTCCTTTTTAAGTTACAATTAGGTAGTTGAGGTCAAAATCCTAAATCTCTCGTTTTCGATTCATCGCGCGCGTTTATCATTTTTGTAATATTAATGTAACTGCTCACGGTATATAATAGTTTTAATCTAGGATTTTATTTATTTATCGTTTTACGGGTTTTTTGGCTATGTAATTAATTCCTACCCCGAAGCCTTGTAATAGCGTAGGTTTTATTTTCTCGCATTTTAACTTCCGCAAATATTAACTGTTTAGATGTATGTTAATAGGATTGTATGACAAGATTGCATGATAAATTAAAACGGTTAGAAAATCCTAATGTGCAAAGATAATAACTGAAATCAAATCACTCGCACATGTGCACTCCTAGGGTATACTCTCACTTCAGTTGCCTTCGGTAAACGATCATTAAGTATAGGGTGTCTTAGTGGTTGCCCTCCTGTCTAAACAAAGATCAAAAGTCCCATTCGGAAATGTTGCCTCGAATATGATCTTAAGACTCTAGGGTTATTACTAAGATGTCCTAACATTTCTTTAGTGATCGTACGTCCCTTTCGAATTGACCCTTACAAATCCAACGATGGTGCTACCTATTTCTCAATAGTATGATAGCACTGTCTAAAGGAAACAAGAACAGAAACGATCTTTTTTCGAGTAGGTAGATGCTAATAGGTACTTGCTCAAAATCATACTTTTTCACACCAAACACTTTTCAAACAAAGTTTTCAAAAACAACTTCGTAACACCGTTGAGGACAGAAACAAGGGTTAAAACGAAGTAAAACAAAACTTTTCAAAACAAACACACACAAGCAATTTTAAAAGATGAGCAAATACCTAAGAGCCCATGGAGAACCATGGATAGAAAGGGTGCTAACACCTTCCCTTTCCATAATCTACCCCCCGTACTCAGAATATCTCGAAAAAGGATTTTTTTTCCTTTCTGGTTGGATAAAATAAAAGTCGGTGGCGACTCTTGCTTACCGCGACATTTTGCGAATAAAAAAAATGCAAAACATAAACCAGTATTTTTTAAAACAGTCGGTTCTGTCACCGTATCACAGTATGCAACCCTCCAGAATAACTTAATCCTCATCCCTTGAGGAAGAGACACCCACTCCTATCAAGAAGGCAAAAATTTCTTCCTCAGAAGAGAAGATGGAGACAATGTCATTCGCGCCTTTGGAAACGACAGAGGAGGAAGACATTTTGTTTTTGAGAAAATAATAGAACAAAAGGAAGTCAACACCACCGTCACAACCATCAGAATGGAACCATCTACCTAGAAATCATATATCTAAAAAATGTCTCAATCATACAATCCCATTAATTTGGAATACATAGTAAAAAATGAGAGATTGACAAGTCTCATACCTGTGAGAAGGTTGAAGATCACGCTAAAAAATCTAAAAAGAGTAACTCAAGCAAAGTTGTAGAAAGTAAAATAGAATGAGGGAGCAAATTATCATTCTCATAGGAGAACTCCTAAGTCCTTAGGATTTTGCAAAAATCTACAGAATACTTACACGTGCCATTATGTTTGCAATTTCAAAAAACAAGTCATCATTGATAGCATTAAAGAAGGAAGAGCACACCTGCATCGTGATTGGCTGACGTCTCGAATGACCTACTATACTCGAACTATAGACACCCAAACACTGTCTATATGGCGGGGAGTATAACCAACTACCTCACCACCTTTGTACGCGCTTTTAGTTGAGGGACTCGTCTATTATTTGAAATGCCCTACACTGATGGAATCACCAAAAAGGGGGTCACCCCACAACCATATCCTCAATCATAGGAACCATCGGCAGGGCGATAAGCGCCTTCAGAAAAAAGACAATGGTTCTAAAAACTTTGCCCTTTAAATAAAAAGCCCTCGTGTTAGAGGGACTATGTAGTATCATATTTTGCAAAGCCCTAGATTAGGGTGCCCATGGCCAAGCAAATGGGCTGCCTGGACATAATTCTATGCACTCGCTCATACGGTCCGCCTGACGTGGCCGTTAGATAAGAGAAAGTCTTTGTTAACCCCAGAAATATAGTCGAACCATTATCTCTTTAATAAGTGAGAGCGGTTAAGACCACGTCGGTAGGAGACCATAAACCTTAATTTGGGGAGAATCCTATAAATAGACTATCCCTCAAGGACGTAAATGACAACTCTCAAGTAACACTTACTTACACAATTTCAAACACTACTCCAAGAGAACTCCGCTCTGAATAATCCTAGCAACATCACTCCAACCTTCCGTCTACGACCTAGCAGCATCGATCCACAACAATACCTCTCACCTCACGTGGATTGATTCCTTAAACAACCTCAAAAACTAATGTACATCACCACCATGAATTAGGCCTCACCCTTAAAAGTGTAATATACCTACTAGGTTATTTAAGTCTGCATACACTTATAGGAGAAACACGCACACATTTATGTACTTTTTTTAGATAATACAAAAAAAAAAAAAAAAAAAAATAATAATAATAATAATAATAATAATAATAATAAAAATATCATTATTTCCATTATATATGAAGAATGTTTTATTTCTAACTAAAATGTCCCGAAAAAAACTTTTTAATTTTGAACATGATATGTTTTCTTTTATGGTTTTTTCAATTTTAATATGTTATTTTATTCTAGAATATTTTTATTTCTTATTTAGAATAATGTTAAAATATTTTTCTTAAAATTTTAAGTAAACAAATTCGACTAAATTATTTTTGTATTTAAAATAAACTTGAATAAATACATTGAATTTTTTGAACCGACTTTAGTTTTATATCTAGGATCGAATTGAAAACTTTACAAGATTAAAGTAAATTTAATAATAATTATTATTGTTATCATATTTTTTTAATATAATAATAATAACTTTAATGGACATTCGTTCATAATAAAAATATTTTTACATTGTTATTTAATATTTAAAAAAAAAATACTTTGTTAAAGTAATTTTTAAAATATATATTAATATGAAAAAAATATATAATTTATGTCAATCCTTATTATTTAAGAGTGCATTTCTTATTTTTATTATAAAATACTTTGTTATGGGTAACAATACATTATTTATTTATTATTATTATTATTGATACTTTCTTTTTAAATGAATATTTTGATACTTTTGAATTTAGCTGAATATTGATATCTATATAATTTATATCATGTTAATCTTAAATAAAATAGTTTACTACTTTTATTTAATACTATTTGAGAAAGGAAAGATCTACTAGAATTGTACTAGTACGTGTAACGCCAAAAATGCTTTGAGTCGCACGTGTTACAGCAAACTATTAACACGTGTGAGATCTTGAGGGCCAACAAAATCAAGGGGCGGTAATGGAAAACATAAACAAAATTAAACATGATTATTCTATTTCGGTGCCACGTCAGAGGGCCCCACTCACCCCATATATTATCATATCCAGCTCATACCTGACTCACTCACCCCATCATATTCGGCTAATGTCGGTCCCACACATTGAAATCTCTATCTTTTTTGTCTTCTTATCGTTAAATTTAACAAATCAAAATATTCAAAATTTTATTCATAAAAAAAAAAAAAGAGTCCTCAAACCTAAAATACAAAAAATTTTAGCGAAAAAAACTTGGATTAAATCTTTGTTAGGAACTTGTTTAGACTAATCTGTTTTGGTTTAATAAACCAATTGATAAGAATAGATTATGATTGAATTATATATAATTAAAAAGTTAATACCAATTGTTCTTATGTGAGTCGATTGTCTTGTTTGAGATTGTCAAGTTGTTTGACACTTTACCTTTTGGATAGAAATAATATTGTTATTTAAGTATAGAGAAAATGAAATGTTAGTAATAAAAATGGAAAGAAAGAAAGAAAAATGTAATGTTAGGAATTTCAGAGAAGGACATAGGAAGTTCCAAATCTCAGGGAAGGACTCTCCGGCCAGTTATAAATAGCAAAATTTAATAGCCACCATAACATACTTCAAGTTTTGAAATCTCTTTTGTTTTCTTATTCTCTTTCTTTTTTCTTCAAGTTTCTCACAGTCAAACATGACTATTCTCATTGATCAACATGATTGTTTTGGTAATTTTTAACCCTTTTTTATTTTTAGCTATTTTTTTCTTTTTTTTTTTATAACAAAATTTACTTTTTTTTTGCCATCACAAATTCCATAATTCCATTATTTGGATTGATTGGTGAAAAATAGTTTTACTTTTTTGTTCTTTTTATTTTATTTTTATAAAAGATGAAAAGATGTTCCGTGATTATGCACCGTTTATGTTTTGATAGTAACTTGTGTGTAATTAACTTAAAATGATTGTGCATAATTCTTTTGTTTGTGCTATGGATTAGATTTTTTTTTGAGATTATGAATTTGATTGGTCAAACCAAAGTTTTTGATTAAGATGAAACTATTGATTAATTATTTTATATAATTAGATCATAAGGCGTTGATTAAAGTTTGAATTGCTTGACTTAAGTCAGTTAATTTCTTGATTATTCAGTCAAATTGAAGCTGGATCTATGAAAATGGTGCACAGAAATTATGTATTTTTTCTTTAATTAATTAATTAATTAATTGTTTTTTATTATAAAAAATGACAGGATCTGATGTAGAGGCAAAGACAGTGAGCGAGAATGAGACAAAACTTGTTTTGGACGGTGGATTTGTTCTGCCACAGGGCAACTCATTTGGTCACACTTTTAGGTTCAATTCTCTGTAACCATTCACATGATTTTAATAAATTGAATTTAATAAAATTGATGTTAAATTAATATAAATAGAATTGATTTTAATAAAATTAAATTTAATAGAGTTGATTTTAATAGAATTAAGTTTAATATAATATTTAAATATATTTATGTAAAAATAAATTAAAATATAAATTTTAATATAAAAATTATTTAAAGTCAATTCTAAAAATAGAAATTACAAATTCTAAGACATAATCAACTCTACTTTAATAGAATCAAAATATTAAAATTATTATAAAATTAATTCTACACTTTAAAAGTACTTTTACCCCTTCTAAAACTGAAACCAAACATACCGACTTTTTTTTTATTGATTTTTTTCTTTAGTTGGTCAATTTATCATAGAAATTGGTTTAGTTGTAGTATATAAAAAGAGACTTCACAATTTTTTTTTATTTGGAAAGATATTTTTTATGCAAAGCACTTTGCAAATTCTAAATTGTCTTTTATTGTGTCAAGCTAGTTTTTCTAGTCTCTGGGCTAGGCCCATCCAACCTGTACGGTTGATGTTTATTCTCTGGGCTAAGCCCATCAAGCCTGTACGGTTGATGTTTATTTTGGGCCAGGTACATTCTGGGCCAGGCCCATCAAGTCTGTGTCGTTGAAGTTTATTCTTTGGGCCAGGCCCATCCAACCTTTTATGATTGATGTTTATTCTTTGGCTAGACCCATCAAACCTTTGTGGTTGATGTTTATTCTTCGGGTTAAGCCCATCAAGCCTTTTTATGGTTGATGTTTGAGGATTTATCCTGAAAATTTGTCTATACTGAAATTTTGAGAAATAGATGAGATTTTATCAGGCGTAAAATCTTATAATATTTTTCAGCCAGTGTAAAAATCATACTTTTTACACGGAATTTTTCAAAAATTCGGTATAAAATTATAGTTGTGGAAAATGTGATTTTTTACCGGTTTTTTCAAATGACAGAAAATTTCAAAACATATTTAATATTTTGAAAAATACAAAATGTTTTTGATCTATATTTTTAGTCGATTTTTTTAAATACGACAGAAAACTTCAAAACATATCTGATTTTTCGAATAATACTAACAAATATTTTTGGCCTATTGAATATGAACTATCAACTTTTTCAAAAAAAAATGGAAATACACTACTTTGTTAAATAATGTGAAGGATAATTTTGTCACTAAAAAATATGGGGGGTACTTGATCAAATTAAGGGATGACATGATAAAAACTCTTTACGTTTATTCTCTAGTCTAGGCCCATCAAGTCTTTTTTGGATGATGGCCCATCAACGGTCATGCCCTGGCCTCATATTTTCTTAACAAAAAAAACTATAATGACAATCTTTTCTAATAAAAACTGAATATAATCCTCTAATTAATTCTTCATGTTAAAACACTTTTAGAATCGTCTAACATGTGACAAGTCACTTTTAAACAGAGATTATGCTGCTGAAAGTCACAGGCAAGAAGGGGTGGAGAATTTTTATAGAAAAAATCACATTTACCAATCCTTTGATTTTGTAAGCATCTATTACAAATAATTCATTTATGTTTCCTCCTTAAAAAATGTACTTAAAACACATTTTGTCGCAAGTTATGTAGCTATAAACAATGGTGTTAATTTTGTAACATATATATAGGTGAAGAAAATGAGAGAGGAGTATGGTAAATTGAACAGGGTAGAAATGAGCATATGGGAATGTTGTGAACTTCTTAATGAGGTGGTGGATGAAAGTGATCCTGATTTGGATGAACCACAAATTTTGCATTTGCTACAAACAGCTGAAGCCGTAAGAAAGGATTACCCAAATGAAGATTGGCTCCACTTAACTGGCCTTATCCATGGTAATTTCCATATTTCTGATTAGTCTTTTCTATGAAATTATAATTGTTTTGCAAGTACGCACTCTGCTGAACTGTGTAAACAATATATCAACGATATATCGTATTTATTATTATTTATGATTTTCGATTTTATTTTCTATCTAGCAATTTTTTTCCTTCTTTTTTGTTTAATCAATTTGATTCAATGCAGATCTTGGCAAAGTTCTTCTCCTCCCTAGTTTTGGAGGACTTCCTCAATGGGCTGTTGTAGGTAAGTGTGATATTCCATTTATATATGATTTTAAATGGGTGTAATATGTCAATGTTCAATATGTGATGGCAATTTTATTTTATATTGATTTTGATATTCAAAAGTAAATATTTTTTTAATAAAATTAATACTTTATTTTGTCAATTTATAGTTGAAATTATGTTTTCTAATAATTTTTATATTGGTATAGGTGACACATATCCGGTTGGTTGCAGATTTGATGAATCCATTGTTCATCACAAGGTATTAATTAATCTTTCAACTTATTTTTTATTTGAATGGATAAAAAAACAAATTATGAAAATTAAACATACCTAACATATGTTACATTTCCAATTTCAGTATTTTAAGGAAAATCCAGACTATAACAACTCTGCATACAACACTAGATATGGGATTTACTCTGAGAAATGTGGACTTAACAATGTCATGATGTCATGGGGACATGATGACTACATGTATCTAGTAAGTCCTTAGAAAAAATTCAACTGATTTTTTTTTCTAATGAAAGAAACTTAATGTAAGGTATAAAATTTGTATGTTGTTTTCAGGTTGCAAAAGAGAACAAAACTACTCTTCCCTCAGCTGCTATGTTCATTATAAGATACCATTCATTTTATGGTAAGTTCAACTTAGAAGTAAAAATTATTTTGTCCAGCAATTTTTACTATTAATAATTATATTTGATACAGTAATTTTTTTTTTTGCAGCATTACATAGGGAAGGAGCCTATAAACACTTGATGAATGATGAGGATATTGAAAATCTCAAATGGCTCCAAATTTTCAAGTAATGGTTATTATCGATAGATAATAATTTATTTAAATTTTGTTATATTATCGCGCTGTGTTGCGTCGTTATTTATCAACATTGATTAAATTTTTTTTTATTGAATCACTTGTAGCAAATACGATCTCTACAGCAAGAGCAAAGTTCGAATTGATGTTGAAAAAGTGAAACCATACTATCTTTCACTCATTGAAAAGGTTCTATTTATTTTCTTTTCCAATTGAAAATTTTAAAAAAATTGTTTTTGTTTAGTTTTAAGTTTTTACTAATGCATTTTTCTTTGTTGCAGTATTTCCCTGCAAAGCTGAATTGGTGAAAAATTGGAGACTTGAAGTTGAGAGATATTTAGCATGATAATTAGTTTAGAATAGGGAATAAGTTATTGGCTGCAAGTACTTTGAATTAATATGCTTTGATGATTTAGGATTCTTGTATGAATTAAGTAATATATGTAGTCAATATCCTGTATCAATATTTTCATTAAAAAATAAAATAATTTCTTGAGGATTAGTTATTTGGACAAGTTCATTTAGAATGATGGGCAATGGATGCAGCATAAATACCTGTAATGTACTATCTCTCACTTGAGAATAATACTATGACTAGTTTTTTAAAGACTAAGCATTAAAGCTTTCATGTAGTGCTGATTCTTTACCCTCTAAAGCACTAAGCACTAAAGCTTTCATATCTAAATAGCAAATTAAGATGTCGTCTTCTTCTTCTTTCGTTTTCCGACTTGGAATAATTTAAAGTACTTGCTAGTATCTTAGGATTCTTTTGAATGCACTACCTTGCATTTTAGGAATCTTAGAATTCTTTTAAATGAAATGACATAAGATTTTATGGAATTTTCCATGAAGTGCTCTTAACTCCTCCTCAATAATATATAGCAGGCTGCCTGCTGTTTTATAAGAAATACACATTTTATTTTAAAATATATTAAAAATAGAATATTCTTCGTTTTTAAATTATCGAAGTGTCAATTTTTTCCGTTTTCTTTCCATTTGTTGAATTTTTTTAGTGTTTTCTTAAATTCTTTATGAAAAATAATTTGAAATTTTCTTCGTTAGAGAAATTATTTAGAGTGGTCAAATCATTATTAAATTCTCAATGGAGAATTATTTGAGTTTCTCATCGTTTGAGAAATTATTTAGAGTACATTAAATCTATGGCGAATTTTGAATCAATCTTGATGAACAACATTCAATCACACCGATCGAATTTTCTCTTGTTCTTCATTCTTTACTCGAGTGACAACTAATTTTGATTGCAAGATGATTTTATGCACAAATTGGTAATGGAAGAAGAAAGAAAAGATGAATTGGGAAGAAAGGAAGTTAAGATATTAACAAAAGGAAGAAGAAGAATTTCTATAAAATTTCTCTATGCTATTCAAACTGAATATTATTCAACTATGCAACTTCAAGAGTGTTTTTTTCAACCATAGGGGTTACTCCCTATTTATAGATTTTGAGTTTGCCTGCTCTATAAGCAAAACCTAAAACACAAAGCTCAAAACACCTAATTCTGCTAACTAAAAAAAATAGGCCTAAGTCGAAATCCATGTCGAGTTACTTCGACATTTTGACAATTCTACGTGTTTCGACAACAACATGCTTGGACACCATGAGTTACATTCTCAATACACTACCTAATTCATTGTGTCTAAGTTATCTATATTTATCATTGCTTTTAGTCTCTTAAACACTTCGACCTGCACACTTTTCATTATGATGTCTGCAATCTGATTCTCAGTTCTGCAGTGTTCTAAGTTCAGCTTCCCATTTGCTAAACGCTCTCGAAGATAATGGAACCTCATTTTGATGTGCGTGCTTCGTCCATGTGCTATCAGATTCTTCGCCAGATTGCTAACTGATATGTTTTCAATCTTCATGGTAATTGCTCTATGATCTTCTGCTATAATTTATTCGATCAAGTTCACCATCCATGTTGATTGACATGCACAAAGAGAAACAACTATGTACTCTGCCTCACACGATGATAGTGCCAATACTGATTTTTTCTCTCTCAAATTTCAAGCAACTGATGCACCACCTAGCATAAACACATAACCATCTATGAATTTTCTATCCTCAACGTCACTGCACCAACTTGAGTCGGTGTAATTCATTAGCTTACATTATTTTCCTTCATCAGTTGCAGGAGACAGAATGTCGTAGTCGAGAGTTGCTTTGAGATACTTCAGTATCCTCTTCTTTGTTGTTAGGTAAGACACCTTTGACTTCTGCATGAATCTATTCACCATATCTACACTTTATGCTAAGTTAGGCCTTGTGTGACAAAGGTACTTTAATGACCCAATAAGTCTTATGTACTATGTTGGGACGACATCATCTTCATCTGAATCTTTCGATAATTACAGTCTTTGTTCACCATGTGTTGAAGTCGAGTTGCATTCTTCCTTCTCAAATATTTTGAGTATTTCACTAGCATATCTTCTTTGATACATCATCAACCATCTACAACTCTTGTAGAATTCGATGCCAAGAAAGTATGAAATATCACCCAGATAAGACGTTTCGAACTCCTTGCTATAAGATCACCTTTGAAGTCTTTGATCTGCTTTTTGCACCTACCTATAATTAACAAGTCATCAAAATAGAGACATGGTATAAGCAATTCACTCTTGATTCTTCTTACATATACTCTATGCTCAGTTGTATATTTCACAAATTCCGCCTCTCTTGAAAAAATATCTATCTTCTTATTCCAAGCTCTTGGAGCTTGTTTGAGTCCATTACTGAATCAACGGTATCATCCCTCCGTAAAACCGCTACGGACATACTCCTTCTACACAATAAACCAACAACAACGTACAGCCATTTTTCTTTATTTCATTTTATAATTTTTATTTTTACAATTTTATTTAATCTTATTTCATTATTAGTTATAATTATGAATTTTTTGTGTAATTATTATAATTTATATTTTTAGTTTATTTGTTAGAAAGAATTTGTTTAAGTCTTATTTTAAATTAGATTAGGCTTCACATAAACTTTAGTCTAAGTCCATTAAACTCCTCCTTTTGTAAATACACCTTTTATATTATTCTAATCTTTTATTTTTATATTATCTACAATGTTTTTTTAGTAATGTAAATAATGTATATGTATACAATATTAGTTAACTTCACATTGTGTTATGATTTTTGGAGTTGATTTTGATTTAACTTTTTAATACATATGAATGTATATAATTTTATTGACCGACTTATTTTGTGGACTTCGACTCGATTCACATTTTTGGTTCCTCAGTTTTTCTTAGCTTACTCTTGGACCTTTATCTGAGATTTTGAATTATATCTCTGCGCTCTTGGCTTTGTCTGTTTGTTGAAAATTTTCATCTGATGCAGATATTCATATTTGACATTTGGAATTCTTAGATACTTTGAGCTTACCTGATGCATTTTTCTGACTTGTGATTTATTTTTACCTGATGCGTTTTATCTGATTGTTTTGAGTATTATCCGACGCATTAGGTTTCTTTGATGTTGTCTGCCTGTGATTTATTTTCACCTGAGGTTTGATATACGCTTGGCTTATTTATCTGCTTGTGGCTTTAAATCCAAATGGATGAGAACGCTATATTGATTTCTTTATATCAAGTATGAGCTTCTGATTGGTTAGATCTTCTTTACCTTATCTTTTACATTCTTGTACATAGGACATTCTTTTCATCTCCTTCTCATTCTTTAATTTTCAAAACGTTCTCATCTTTTTCAAAACCTTATCATCTTTTTCAAAACCTTCTTTGTTTTATATACTTTAACCGTTTTCATAATAAACCTTGACTTTGTCAAGTGACTTTTTCAAACTTCTTTTTCTTAATAAATATTAAATCACCTAACCATATTTTAACTCTTTCAAAAAAGACTAAAAAACATTCAAAAACTCATTCAAACTTTTTGTGCCCTCTCGCACCTTTTACCCTTTAAATTTTTTTTCCAAGATTAGACATGATTCATTTATAATCGAGATGTTCTTCCTCTATCCACATGGTTGCCGACTTCTCCAGTTGAGTATTAGAGGTGTTCTCAAACCCTCCCCCATGTTGGTGTGTAGTCATTCTTTTTTTATCATACCTTGTGGGCGTTTAGACGAGTCTTATTACTAAAAATGAAGACTTGTCTCCTCATTTAAAATCAATTAACAAACCAAGTTTTGTTCTTTTCTAGTTGAACTATGGTGCTCTGACTTTCCCATTGTACGAGGAAGTACGTAGGCACTAGGTCTCACGACGCAAGGCGAGCAAAAATAATAAAAAACATTTTCATTTTCTTCTGTTTGTAAATACTCATTCATTCTTTCTCTTTAGCAAATAAGTCTTTAGATAACACAGCTTTTGAAAGAAAACAAACAAAGTGGATCCTACGGAATATCGTAGATGCTTAGAGTGCTAATACATTCCCTCTGCATAATCGACCCCCGTACCTCGATCTCTGATCTTTTATTTTATTGAGGGTTTTGTTCTTTTTTTCCCATTTCACTTTGGAAACAATAAAGTATGGTGGCGACCTCATTAAGTGAGATAAGTCAATTAATGGCTTAATCTCAAATTCTTTACCGCTACATCTTTTTGCATTTTACACAGTGCGACAACTTGGCGACTTCACTGGAGACACTTTCTTAAGTGGGTCAATTCTAGCTTTGTTTGTTTCTTTTCTGAGTATTTATATATTGTTTTAGTTGTTGTTTATTACTTTCCATTATTCTGTATATATTGTTGTGCTGGATTTTCTGGTTTTTCAGGTTGGGTGGGTGTTACTATGAGGTAAAAGGCTCGGTACCTAGGGTATGATATCACATCTAGGAATACATAATTAGAGTGAAGTCATGACAGCTACTGGACGAGGTCTTACTAACAAGGTCATGTGCACCATGCTCAGCCAAGGTTCAAATGGGGTATTATCATCATACATGTCTGTTGTTGCGATGATAGTACTTTCAGGCGAACTAGCGACACTGAGTTATCATTTGCCTTACCCTGACCTAGACTTCACCCATGAGTGGGGAGGGAATTATTATTACAGGTGCAGATGTTGATCTTCTTGGTATCTGGTTCTTTTGTATGCTGATTTAGTACCAGACCTATGGTCCTGTTGCACTGGTTTGCATTACATAATATTGCATATCATTTACATTCTCTGCATCGTGCATACATCCAGGTGGTCGAAGATCTCATTCCCAATTGTTTCTTTCATCCAGTTGTCTATCTACCGTCAAACTGATTCCTCGAGACTTTGGATTTGAAGCATGTCTAAAAAAACTATGGAAGAACTTCAACGAGACCATGAGA